GACCCCGGCTTCATCCTTGCCCCTGCAGTCTGGTCTCCACAGAGAAGCTGAAGTGGCCCTGTGAAAACCCGAGTCGGGCCACTTCAGTCTTCAGTTCAAATCCCTCCACCCCACGGCTCCCACCTCCAGTACCAGTTAGGTCCTCAGAAGGGCCTGCAACACAGGTCCCCACAGCCCCCCGACGGCAGGTCAGGCAGCTCCTGCTCAGGGCCTCTCGACTCTGCTGTCGGCCAGGGACACGTCTCCCCAACACAGGCACGGGGCCCACCCTCACCCCTCCAGTCTCTCCCCAGCACTGAGCTAGCCCAGGAAGCCCTCCAGGGCCACCCCACCTCCAACTACAAGTGCCCCCAGCACTCCTGCAGCACCGGCCCTGTGACACACTGGATGCTCTGCCTGTTAGCCAGCTGCTCCCCCATGGATCAAACATGTTTGCCCTCGGACAAGCCTCCAGGAGCCCAGCAGAGGCTCAGTCCAGACGGGGGAGGAATGCATCAGCCTGAGACCACAAGGCACTCCCCAGGCCAGGGACGCTGGGAAGAATGTGCTGGAGGCCCGGAGGCAGGCGGGAGCTGGACACACATGAGGGGCTGGAAGGACAGTGGCCACAGGGGAGGCGTGGGGGGAAGGGAGGCTGCAGGGTCAGGGCGGGCAGGGCCCCGCAGCCCGGGAGGAACGTGCGTCTTTTTCTAACAGTAACAAGAAGCCCTCACACAGGGAGTGGCAGGATCACGCGTGCCTTTCAGATCTCTCATTCCATGAGATACGGACTTGGGGGAGGAAGAATGCGTGGGAGGGAGGGCTCAGCTGGCAGAACGAGGCACAGCTTGGACCCCAGACAGCCTTCGTTGGGACTAAGACGGCAGAAGCAGGGGTGGAGGCAAGCAGGCAGATTCCAGACACATTCAGCAGATACAATCAAAGGTCTGGGTGAGTGATCGCAGAAGGGGCTAAGTGAAAGGGCAGCCTCAAGGTCACCCTACCTTGTTCACCTGTGAGCTGAATGGCCAGTGGCACCATTCACCGAGTTGGGGAGGGGGGCAGCGAGGAGAACGTGGGAAGGTGACCTTGAGCACAGTTTTGGAAATAATGACCAAGATGACTCTGAGACATCCAAGTGGAGATGTGCCGTTGGCAGTGACGTTTCCGGGGCAGCAAGACCAGAGGCTGTGAGCCAGAGAACGCCGCGAGGACTTTCACCTGGTGTCTGAAGGCTAGTCAAAACGTCTCAGGTAACAAAGTGATAAGGTGTGACGTGCTGAAAAATCACTGTAGGGACACTTGGGTGGGAAGGGGGCGCACCTAGAAGCGGGTGGGGATGCATCTTAGTACACCAGGTGGGCCAGGAGCCCCAAGCCAGGGCTGCCGCGTGGGGAAGGGAAAAGGAACAGGCTGAGCGGGTTTTTCTAAAACACAAACTCAGATCACAGAGGCTCCTCCACTCAAAACCCACTCAACACCACTCAAAACTTCCACATTTTGTTCCCTGACCACCTCTCCAAATACCTCTCTGGCTGCCCACTCCACCACCCAATGCCAAGTTCCCCTAACGCACCACTGTGCTCCCATCTCTACGCTACCCAGCTCATGCTATTTTCTTCTGCCTGGCAACACCTTTTTGTCTTTTTAAGATGCGCCTCTCCCACTGTGAAAAGAGAGAGGCAGCGCTGACATCTGGGTGCTGGCCCGGCCCCCACAGCGAGCCCAGTTCTCCCATTGGTGTCATCTCAGAGAATATCAGCAGCACAAGGTCACTGCAACAGTGATAAGTGAGACAAGACCAGACTGCTTCATAATTTTATCTAAACCAAAAAATACAAGGCTGTCATGCCATGCACAAAACGCCAAACAGCCGATACGAGCAACTGTGGTTCCTGTTACAGCGTTTGCCTCACTCTAGTGACACCTCTTTCCAGAAAAGACTGACTGAGCTGCTACCCCCGCTCCGCCTGCTGTCCGCACCCAGCCCAGAGCAAACCCCAGCTTCCTTGAACTCTCCCCTAAGTTATCCAACCAAAGCGCAGATCCTGTAAGTTCTTTCTATGTAGCACCCTCTCACCGACAGGCCCCATGATGTGAGTTCTTCCTCATTACAATGACAGTTAAACCCAACTTGACTAACTACAGGAGTGTTTCTAGTGATCTCAGCTGGAGGGCGCTGACAGCTGGCTCGGGGAGGATGGTTAAGTTTCTTGGAGGGAGGTTAGGGGGGCTCCAATCTGCCAGCTTCCATCTTCTTTGTTAAGCAAAGCCCACAACATCACTCCCGTTATCTTGTGAATGAGGCGAGGGTGGGGTCAACCACAAGTGTGAGGAAAGTGGAAACCCTCTGAATTAAGCATTCTGGAGAGGAGGTGAGCGTGCTGACCAGCCATAGTAGAATGGCCATTCTCTGCTAAGGGCACAGGGGAGGTTGACATGAGCCTCCCTGCTGTGTGATTTCTACCACCTGCATTCAGTGTGAAAAAGAAGTTTCGTTCAAGCAGGGTTTGGGGTTTACGAGGACCAAGGACCCAGAGGGCCAGGGAGATAAAAGCAATGCCAAGAGAACTCTTCTTTTTTTTTCTTTAAGATTTTTATTGGGGAATTGGGGGGATGGGAACAGTGCTGGGGAATTGGGGGAAGGGGAACAGACAAGTTGCTGTCGTTTTGTTCTTCAGTCTAGTTGTCGGAGGACGTTGCTTCACTGGCCCAAGTTGGCACCATCATTGCGCTCTTCCCGGGTGAGGCACATCAGTCGCCGGCCTCTGGATGGCCGCTCACGGCGGCTGCTGGCCGCTCATGGCGGTTGCTGGCTACACACGGTAGCCCATGGCAACCCACTGCCACAGGGGCTGCAGCCCAAGCCGTTGCCGGCGACTCACAGCAGCCCAGCTTCAGGTTGAGCTGTTGTTCAGGATCTTAGCGTGGAGGGCAGTATCACCGGCCCTCATATGTGGGATCCGAACTGGGGCCCTCTGGCGTCCCAAGCCAGTTCTTAACCATTGCCCAGAGAACTCTTGAATGACTGACTCTGAGCTCTAAGCTCTTCTGAGAGGTAACGGACTAGAGAAAGTATCTAAAGGATGGAGAAAACCATAGAGGTCCTGCAGAAAAATACGCTCAGGGCACAGCAGAAATAACTGATCAAGCCAGCTGGAAAGAAGAGTCAAAAAAAGCTTCTATGAAGTGCATCCGACGGTGACTATCTCTGGTCTTCGGAGGCCGGAACCGATCCCAGAAACTTCTGGTTCAGTGGGTCTAGAGCAGGCCCCGAGCACCTGTTTGTCAAAAGCCCCACAGGCCATGCTGCTACGCAGTTGGGCTTGGAACTACACCTTAGATTCTCGGCAGCTGCAAACCCAAACTTCCCCTATGGGACTCAGACATCTGTAGACATAGAGGGCCCTGGAAACTGAGGCAGAGAACAGCTGAAATGATAAAAACGATCCAACAGAGAGTCCTAGCTCTACTATTTCTGGATAGTTTCCTTTGTGCCTAAACTATTTTATAGCTAATTTAACGAAGCAACTTTGCAAAAAAAAAAAAAAGTTACAATAAATATTAAGTAAACCAACATTATCAATAACTATTAAATAAACCTAACCCTAATGAGCTATGGAAAAGCATTTTACTTCCCTCTGATAATTCTGATGGCACTTCAGATTCTCTTAGCAAATAGCGGTCAATACGAGAAATATTATTTCTAATTCAACAGCGCTATAGATGCAGTCAATAGCAACTCAAAGCTGGAGAAGAAATAAAGTTGGGTGTAACTCCTCCACGTTCACAAATGTCTCCCCGGATGGCCTCCAAACCTTAATTCCTATGCATGTATTTATCTATCTATTTAATCCACCACCACCAACACACTCCGTGCCAGACGCTGACCTAATATTAAAAGCCATTTAATCTTTCCAAGCACCTGTGAAGTGGGTGTTCTTACCATCCTCACGTCGCAGATCAGGAAACGGAGATACAGACTGGTTTAGTATCTTGCCCAGGTTAACACAGCTAGTAAGTGGCAGAGCTCGGGTCCATGTGAGTGCAAGCCTTAATCGCAAATACAGGTTTCCACCGACTTACAGTGCCCTCTGAACCCAGTTTCCAGGGCTGTTCAGTTCTGCTAACAGCCCATGCCTCTCCCCAACACTCTCCACCCTCCCATTTCCCTATTTTTGGGTAGCCTTTTGTTCTTAGCTTAACCATCATCCGCCTAAATTACAAACTCCAGTGGCACCCTACTTCTCAGGGTGCAACACAAAAGTGTAATTATGTATTCACGGGTCATTATTTGTTTCCTCTTTTCCAACGAGGCTGTGAGTATGCCAGGCACCATCTCAGTCTTAGTCATCCTGTGTCTGCCCCCCAGTCACCGAATCCCCACCACCTGGCGCGCAGGAAGGGGCCTGACAGAAAGAAAGCTCGCAATAACTTTTGTTGTATCCATGAACGGAGTACACTCGAGTCTAGTGCTTTCTTTTTCATGCGTTCAGATGTGTGACACACACCTGTGATCACAACATCCCCCCACGACACCCTTAATAGTATGGACTCCTGTAGCTCATCCAGGTAAGACCTCTGGAAAGTACGAGCTCTGCACACAAATATGTGGCCCTGGACAGGTCTTCTCCCCCTTGACTGGCCTGAATTTCAGGTGCACAATGGGGATCATGACAACCCCCCACGGAACGGAACCTGTGAAAGACACAGAACCGGCACTTCCCCCTAACCCATCCTTTCTAGCAAGGCTTCAGCTCCACGTGTGCCCGGTTCCGCGCCGCACTCCAGGCACCGCCCCCCAGCTCGCACCGTGCGTGGCACACGGCCCCACTTCGATAATGAGGGGTTACATAAAGAAACCCCTGCTGCGTGCACGTCACGGGTGTGCAGCGAGGGTCGCACGAGCTGACGGGCGCCTGGGGGCGTGCAGGCGCGTTGCTTAGACACAGGTCCGCCTCCACCTGGGCCCCGGCCCCCCCCCCGGGATACCGGCCCCGCGCCCCGCGCCCCGCAGGCACCTCTTGCACATAGAAGCATCTTCGCAGGTGCCGCGCACGCCCTCGTCGTCTGTTTCGGTCGCCGAGGAAGAGCAGGAGGTGAGCGTGGGCTTCCTGAGGCTAGTGGCCATGGGCGAGGAGGTTCCGGGGTGCTGTGTCCACCCGCGACATGGAAGCGGGGTCAACAGGCGCCGGTAAAGGCAGAAGAGGGGCTGGGCAGCACCTGGCTCGGCTGGCGCGGCTCAGTGACGCCGCCCACGCCCGCTGCCCCAGCAACCTTCGCGCTCATTGGCATCTCTGCCGAGACGCTCATTGGGCAATTTCCCCGCCCCCTCGGCCCGCGGAGGTCATCATTGGACAACTCCCTTGGCCCCGCCCACACAACCCGGAACATCGCCGAGAGGGGCAAAGTAAACTAAAATTGACGCAAAGAGCACCGCAATGCTTCCTGGGAGTTGTAGTCTCAGGTGCATTGGGAGGCCACCGGGTTTCTTACAGCTGGTCACGAAATTTTATGACTGTAATTAACTCAGGGCGGAAGGGTTAGCAGGATCCTAGCATTGGGGCAAAGGGCAGCGAATCCAGGCGGAGGAAACAAGTGTCAGTGTGACACTCAGTTGGGGCTCACTCTCGTTCAACGATTAAACGAATATTTATTGAGCACCCTGTGCGCCAGGAACTGTGCTCTACACACATAATCGCCTGAGGTGGTGTTAAGGGAGGAATGTGTGAAAAACTAACATAATGGAAAACTATGTAGCACTGAAAGCTAATGTTGTTCAGAGATGCATACATATATGGTAAAAATACTATGCCTTAGAGAATATATCCATTTAAGGAGCAGTCAGAAGAAGTCACAAAGGAGGCTGAGAAAGAAGGATCTGCTATTCGGAAGGGAACCTGGGGAAAGTGGCATCACAGAAAGACAGGGGATTTTAAAGAATGAAGATGTGGAAAACAGTGATGGAATACTACAGAGAGTTTAAGTAAATAAAGGACTAAAGAGTGTGCGTTAGAGACTTCCTGGGATATTAACAAGGCAAGATTTTTGTGGGCTTTCAAAAAGAAGTCAATGAGATGGTGGCAAGGAGTACAAATTCTTTCAGAAGTTTAGCTGTGAAAGGTAGAGAGATAAAGTGGCAGCTGGAGCACAAGGCAGAGGATTAAGTGCTGGGAGGGCCTTGGGCATGCTCATATGCTTAGAGGAAGAGACAGGCTGAAGACAGAGCAGGGTGGAAATTAAGGGAGCCACGCCTGTGAAGAAGTCTGAATGGAGAGTTTCCATGGTACAAGGGAGCAATTAGCCTGGAGCTGCAAAGCTGGATCCCTTTTCCTCTGAAACAAAAGGGAAGGCCTAGAGATGAATGGAGAGAAATGGGTGGGTGATTGAATATAGGAAGGAGGTGTGGGAAACGGTTCTTGACTGCTGGCCTCTGATGTCTTCAAGAAAGGATAAGACACATTCATGCTTGAGGAAAGCCATGAATATCATCTACTGCTCTTAGGGAAATGGACAAGGGAGTCGCTCATGGGCATTTGATAGGCTGTGGGGTAGAAACTGCTTCAATGTTGATCAATAGGGGTTAAATTAGTGGACAGTCACACAACAAACTGCTGCTTTTTAAAAGATCAGATAAAATTCATTCACATTTGAATGATGTCTAAGGTGTAGTCAGAGTATAATATAATCCTATCTCTACAAGTGTACATAGATTTCTAAATAGAAAGCCTGAGAGAATACAGATGACCAACGGAGTGGTTTCCTAGGCAATGGAAAGAGGAGTAGGAGTTCACCAGGAACTTTCATTTTTCAAATTTTATGGATCTTGTACTTTTGCGCTGTTCACCTTCTTTTCTTCTTTTTTTTTTTTCAAGATTTTATTGGGGAATTCGGGAAGGGGAACAGTGTTAGGGAAGGGGAACAGCCAAGTTGTTGTCCTTCAACCTTAGTTGTGGAGGGCGCAGCTAGCTCAGCTCCAAGCCCAGTCGCCATCTGGCCACCCATGGGCAGCTCCGCTCAAGGTGCCATGTTCAATCTTAGTTGTGGGTGGGTATAGCCCACCATCCCATGCGCGAGTCAAACTGAAAACCTTGTTGTTAGGAGCACGTGCTCTCACCAGCTGAGCCATTCTGCCACCTGTTGGCAGCTCAGCTCGGGCACAGCTCACTGGCCCATGTGGGAATCAAACCGGCGACCCTGTTGCTCAGAGATCACACTCTTAACCAACTGAGCCACTCGGCTGGCCCATGTGCACCTTTTTTTCTTTTACAAATAGTGTACACTCGTTTATTTTATATAATTTTTGAATCTTAACCCAAGTTCATGTTTTAATGACCCAAGGTATACATAAGTACCTGTTCCTGGTAAAAAACAAAACAAAACAAAAAAAACCTAGAGGATCACAACATTTGATGTATCCTTTGACCACAGCCTCCAACCCCACCAGTGCCCACTCTTAAAAAGAAGTAACCACTGTTTTAAGTTAGGTGAATAACTTTGCAGCCTTTGAAAGGCACTTTTAAGTATTAAGAATATTTTTATTAACTACCCTGGCTGTAATCCCGAGTGTGGCTCGGGGTTAATTTTCACTGTCAGAAGTGGTAACCCCGAGCCACACTTGGGATTACACTGCAGTGTCCCAGAGAAGTCCCTTATCTGCTCCCTGTGATCCTGCGGTGTCCTCCTGTGATCACCGATGAGAACGCTGGCTGATGACAAATTGCAGTTTTTTATTTGATTACATTATTGAATAAAATTATATTATTTTTATAATTATTTATTATATTATAATTTATGATTTTGTGTTTCAAACTTTATCATACCTGGGATGCCTACTAGACTCTTGTTTGGACAGATTTAAGTGAGGAATTCCTAAGAATTACAGGCCTACAATATAAAACAATAAATTTCCATGCAAAACAACGTACCGCTTTGGGTACAAAATTACTGACATAATCAGACCGCCAGGGTGGTTAAACAAAGTAAAGCGTTTCCTTTATCCAAACGTCCCTGAACATGTGTTTCTTCTAGACTGTCTGCTTCTCCATCCATGCAGCTAGTACCAACTCCAGGTTAGCTGGTGTGCAAGCACACTGCTTTTCTTGTTCCTGGGAGACAAAATGCAGTTTCATCTTTCTCCTTGGTGACAACGTTCGATTATTCCTGCAGTGACTCTACCTGCAAACTGGCATGATGGCTTGCATTTCCCATTGCATTAGAGGATAAACATAGCTTTTTCTCCAATACTGTGACTTTCAGTCTTAGGTTAGCTGCTCTACCTTCTGCAGCCAAAGCTTCGCGGACACGACAATCTTCTGATTCTAAAGCATGGTTCTGCCATCTCTCCAGCTCCTGGTTTAAGCGTGATTCTGTCGTGTGAATGTTGGACTTCATTCTGTAAGTCACACTTTTCCATTTGTTTGTTTCAGTACCAACATGACTTCATCTCTGTCCTGTTGAAACATAACTGTCTTTTCCTGTATCGATGTAACTCCATTTAAAAGCTGATTTGATTCCCTGGTCTTGCCCTGTTCTCCCCCCCCCCCAATAGTTGCTCAAAAGCAAGAGCCTTCTTCTTCATGGTAATATATTCAAATTCTTTCTCTTTCTTCATTATGGAAAGTCCCATATTTGTCTCCTTTAATGCTTGGTTTTCTTTTTCTTTTCCCTAGATGTTTCTACTGTTTTTTCATTGTCCTGTTTTAGTTCACACATACCCATTTCAAAATTTAATATTCTCTCCTTCAGGTTTGTTACCGCCTACCTTAAAAGTTCATTCTTGCTCACTTCATTAGTGAAATTCTCACTTGAAGAAAGTACTGTAATTCATCACTTTTGGCTTTAAGAGCTCTTTACCCTTAAATATTTTGTAAAACACCTTGTGTCTCCTTTAGCTGCTTAATTTCTAAATCAGTTTGTTCACATTGATTTCTTTCTAGTTCGAAGGTGGCAGCAATTGAATCAGACAATCTCTGATTATCTTTCTGGAGGGTTCTAATTGTTGTATCTTTTTCCTGTGTTGATTTTCTCAGCTTTTCTGCCTCCTCTTGGACCATTTTAGGACTCATGCAGTTCATCAGATTTAATTGCCTTAAAGAGAGTGTGTGTGGACTCTGATGGGGAAGAGGTGTGGTGAAATGATGTCAAGTTGGCCTAAAAGAATATCCTTGGCATTGCAACGCTGCCCTATGGTGAACTGAATGTGTGGTAATTCCTCCAAATTTTTGAATTTGATTTCATTCCATTTAAAATTTTAGATCAGGTTAGTATAGTTCATCTGCAGTTTAGAATTATTACCACTATCGATTAAAACCTGGCCTGGGGCCGGCCGAGTGGCGTGATGGTTGGGAACTGGCTTGGGATGCCAGAGGGCCCTGGTTCGGATCCCACATGTGAGGGCCAGTGACACTGCCCTCCACAGCTAAGATGCTGAACTACAGCTCAACCTGGAGCTGGGCTGCCATGAGTCACTGGCGACGGTGTAGGCTGCAGCCCGTGCTGCAGTGGGTTGCCATGGGCTACTGTGTGTAGCCAGCAGCCAGCGTGAGTGGCCCTCAAGCCGCCGTGAGCAGCCGTCCAGAAGCCAGTGACTGATTTGCCTCGCCTGGGAAGAGCGCAATGATGGTGCCAACTTGGGCCACTGAAGCAATGTCCTCCACAACTAGACTGAAGAACAAAACGACAGCAGCTTGTCTGTTCTCCTTCCCCCACTTCCCCAGCACTGTTCCCACCCCCCCAATTCCCCAATAAAAATCTTTAAAAAAACAAAACAAAACAACAACAACAACAAAAAAAAACCTGGCCTGAAGTTGTGGGAGCTCTTTCTGATTTCGGATTGACTCACACTGCATATTTTGTACCCTGGTCATCACCTGCTGTTTCCACTCTCCCATTAGCTTAACTTGCTGTTGGATTTATCCTGTGCCTGTAGAAGCTCCTCAAAATGATTCATATTAATACCTCTAACCTCATTACCAGCGCTGGATGTTGGCAACCTTGTCAGTAAAATTTGACATTTCTGCCTTAATGTATCTATTTCTGTGTCTTTTTCTCGAAGGTTGTGTGATAAATTCTGAATGGTTTCTGACCACTACTTTCAAATATAGTGGAGAGTTTTTTTTACATTCGCCTTGCAGCCCCATGAGGTCTGCTTCTTTGGCGACAGTGATATCCATCATTCTGTGATACTCCCTTTTGGGCTGCTATTTTCCTGTCTTCTCATTTAAAACAGCTGATACTTGTTCTCTTTTCAAAGCACACACTTG